CAAGGGACTCCAAAACTTTTACCAAAGCCAACTCCACGCCACGTGGTCCTAAGACGATTGACCGACTTAGGATTCTACACCCAGTATGACGTGACCTAAGCTCTGAACAAAACCCTAGAGTCACCTCTGCTGCCACCACCAGACCAGTAATACAAGAGCAATGATCGAGGTCTGGATCGATCACGCTAATTAATCAACCTAGGGGCTTGATCCCCACTATAAACGATGACCTTGAGTGTGGAATAAATTACACGGTAATGATAATTCCGATTCGATGTTAGAATCGGCGCCCAATGCAACTCTGCCTCGTGTGGACCACGTGACCAGGACAAGTATACACATAAAACACATGGAAACAATAAAATGCAAATTAATAACAAATTTAATTTATTAAACGAAAACTAAAACAAAATCTAAATATGTTCACTCCCTATCAATTTAACACTCCCTACTTGACCTGAGTGGCAAATGAGACTATTTCTATACTTAACAATAGCAACTATACCTTGGGCGACCACAGTTCTAGGTGTTGGGCCTGTTCTTGGGGAGAGGTAAGATGTTTGACCTCTCCTAGCTGCTTCCGTGACCACACTGATTTCTTCCTTGTCTGGTCTCCCCCAGACAGAACATTGTATCCTTCCGCCTAGTCAAAGTTCTACCCAGTTACTAGCAAGGTTTAAGTTATAACAATTAACCTCTGTTGTACTTAATTGATCCAGACTGGTTGAATTATTTTACTGAATTAAATTACAAACATCTAACGGCAGAGCTGTTCCCGATCACAAAAATGGTTATTAAAACTTTGAGAAATATTAGACATGTCAACCCTGCTGACCTATGACCGCCGGTCACTCCGCCTTAAAAGTTAGATCCGATTCGTGACGTCACTGATGGTGACTTAAACTCAATAATTAGAATACTCTTGATATTGTATCCAGTACTATTATACAATCCAATTTTAATGCAAAATGAATAAAGGCTAATTTTCTCTAATTTACTGAATACTATAGGATGATTCATTATACGCAGCTATGAACAACGCGTCGGTTATTTCCACCGCGAATCCCCCTGGGCGTCAGGTCACCATGCGGCTCAGCTTCCCATTCTCTTTTGTCGATAAACCACTCTGGATAATTCTTACAACAGCCTAGTTTGTTACACCGTCCTCGCCCCGACACTAACACACCGTCCTCGCCCCATCACTAACACACCGTCCTCGCCCGACACTAACACCGTCCTCGCCCCGACACTAACACACCGTCCTCGCCCCGACACTAACACACCGTCCTCGCCCTGACACTAACACCGTCCTCGCCCCGACACTAACACCGTCCTCGCCCCGACACTAATACCGTCCTCGCCCCGACACTAACACACCGTCCTCGCCCCAACACTAACACACCGTCCTCGCCCCAACACTAACACACCGTCCTCGCCCCGACACTAACACACCGTCCTCGCCCCAACACTAACACACCGTCCTCGCCCCGACACTAACACACCGTCCTCGCCCCGACACTAACACACCGTCCTCGCCCCACACTAACACACCGTCCTCGCCCCGACACTAACACACCGTCCTCGCCCGACACTAACACCATCCTCGCCCCGACACTAACACACCGTCCTCGCCCCGACACTAACACACCGTCCTCGCCCCGACACTAACACACCGTCCTCGCCCCGACACTAACACACCGTCCTCGCCCCGACACTAACACACCGTCCTCGCCCGACACTAACACACCGTCCTCGCCCGACACTAACACCGTCCTCGCCCCATCACTAACACACCGTCCTCGCCCCGACACTAACACACCGTCCTCGCCCCGACACTAACACACCGTCCTCGCCCCGACACTAACACACCGTCCTCGCCCCGACACTAACACACCGTCCTCGCCCCGACACTAACACCGTCCTCGCCCCGACACTAACACACCGTCCTCGCCCCGACACTAACGCACCGTCCTCGCCCCGACACTAACACCGTCCTCGCCCCGACACTAACACCGTCCTCGCCCCGACACTAACGCACCGTCCTCGCCCCGACACTAACACCGTCCTCGCCCCGACACTAACACACCCTCCTTGCCCCGACACTAACACACCGTCCTCGCCCCGACACTAACACCGTCCTCGCCCCGACACTAACACACCGTCCTCGCCCCGACACTAACACCGTCCTCGCCCCAACACTAACACACCGTCCTCGCCCCATCACTAACACACCCTCCTCGCCCGACACTAACACACCGTCCTCGCCCCGACACTAACACTGTCCTCGCCCCGACACTAACACCGTCCTCGCCCCGACACTAACACACCGTCCTCGCCCCGACACTAACACACCGTCCTCGCCCCGACACTAACACACCGTCCTCGCGCCATCACTAACACACCGTCCTCGCCCCGACACTAACACACCGTCCTCGGCCCACACTAACACACCGTCCTCGCCCCGACACTAACACACCGTCCTCGCCCCATCACTAACACACCCTCCTCGCCCCGACACTAACACCGTCCTCGCCCCAACACTAACACACCGTCCTCGCCCCATCACTAACACACCGTCCTCGCCCCGACACTAACACTGCCCTCGCCCAGACACTAACACCGTCGTCGCCCGACACTAACACACCGTCCTCGCCCCGACACTAACACTGTCCTCGCCCAGATAATAACACCGTCCTCGCCCCGACACTAACACACCGTCCTCGCCCCGACACTAACAGATCCTCCTCGCCCCGACACTAACACCGTCCTCGCCCCGACACTAACACCGTCCTCGCCCCGACACTAACACCGTCCTCGCCCCGACACTAACACACCGTCCTCGCCCCAACACTAACACACCGTCCTCGCCCCAACACTAACACACTGTCCTCGCCCCGACACTAACACCGTCCTCGCCCCGACACTAACACCGTCCTCGCCCCACATTAACACCGTCCTCGCCCCGACATTAACACACCGTCCTCGCCCTGACACTAACACACCGTCCTCGCCCCGACACTAACACACCGTCCTCGCCCCATCACTAACACACCGTCCTCGCCCCAACACTAACACACCGTCCTCGCCCCATCACTAACACACCGTCCTCGCCCCGACACTAACACACCGTCCTCGCCCCGACACTAGCACACCGTCCTCGCCCCATCACTAACACACCGTCCTCGCCCGACACTAACACCGTCCTCGCCCCGACACTAACACACCGTCCTCGCCCCGACACTAACACACCGTTCTCGCCCGACACTAACACCGTTCTCGCCCCGACACTAACACACCGTCCTCGCCCCGACACTAACAGATCCTCCTCGCCCCGACACTAACACCGTCCTCGCCCCGACACTAACACACCGTCCTCGCCCCAACACTAACACACCGTCCTCGCCCCGACACTAACACACCGTCCTCGCCCCAACACTAACACTGTCCTCGCCCCGACACTAACACACCGTCCTCGCCCCAACTCTAACACACCGTCCTCGCCCCCGACATTAACACACCGTCCTCGCCCCCGACACTAACACACCGTCCTCGCCCCGACACTAACACACCGTCCTCGCCCCGACACTAACACCGTCCTCGCCCCGACACTAACTCACCGTCCTCGCCCCATCACTAACACACCGTCCTCGCCCCGACACTAACACACCGTCCTCGCCCCGACACTAACACACCGTCCTCGCCCCAACACTAACACACCGTCCTCGCCCCGACACTAACACACCGTCCTCGCCCCGACACTAACACACCGTCCTCGCCCCATCACTAACACACCGTCCTCGCCCCCGACACTAACACACCGTCCTCGCCCCATCACTAACACACCGTCCTCGCCCCAACACTAACACACCGTCCTCGCCCTGACACTAACACCGTCCTCGCCCCGACACTAACACCGTCCTCGCCCCGACACTAATACCGTCCTCGCCCCGACACTAACACACCGTCCTCGCCCCAAAACTAACACACCGTCCTCGCCCCAACACTAACACACCGTCCTCGCCCCGACACTAACACACCGTCCTCGCCCCAACACTAACACACCGTCCTCGCCCCGACACTAACACACCGTCCTCGCCCCGACACTAACACACCGTCCTCGCCCCAACACTAACACACCGTCCTCGCCCCGACACTAACACACCGTCCTCGCCCGACACTAACACCATCCTCGCCCCGACACTAACACACCGTCCTCGCCCCGACACTAACACACCGTCCTCGCCCCGACACTAACACACCGTCCTCGCCCCGACACTAACACACCGTCCTCGCCCCGACACTAACACACCGTCCTCGCCCGACACTAACACACCGTCCTCGCCCGACACTAACACCGTCCTCGCCCCATCACTAACACAGTCCTCGCCCCGACACTAACACACCGTCCTCGCCCCGACACTAACACACCGTCCTCGCCCCGACACTAACACACCGTCCTCGCCCCGACACTAACACACCGTCCTCGCCCCGACACTAACACCGTCCTCGCCCCGACACTAACACACCGTCCTCGCCCCAACACTAACGCACCGTCCTCGCCCCGACACTAACACCGTCCTCGCCTCGACACTAACACCGTCCTCGCCCCGACACTAACGCACCGTCCTCGCCCCGACACTAACACCGTCCTCGCCCCGACACTAACACACCCTCCTTGCCCCGACACTAACACCGTCCTCGCCCCGACACTAACACCGTCCTCGCCCCGACACTAACACACCGTCCTCGCCCCGACACTAACACACCGTCCTCGCCCGACACTAACACCGTCCTCGCCCCGACACTAACACCGTCCTCGCCCCGACACTAACACACCGTCCTCGCCCCAACACTACCACACTGTCCTCGCCCCGACACTAACACACCGTCCTCGCCCCGACACTAACACCGTCCTCGCCCCGACACTAACACCGTCCTCGCCCCGACACTAACACCGTCCTCGCCCCGACACTAACACCGTCCTCGCCCCGACACTAACACTGTCCTCGCCCCGACAGAGATAGTGGAGAACGTGAAGAACGGCGGGCACCCAGCCTTCAGGCCGAGCGTGGAGGACGAGGCGGCCGAGGAGGAAGTGATGCAGATGATGAAGAGATGCTGGGCCGAGGAGTGCATGGAGCGACCTGACTTCCAGCAGCTCAAGACTATTATCCGTAGGCTCAACAAGTACGTCACCTGGGGTCATCTGGGGTCATCTGGGGTCATCTGGGGTCATCTGGGGTCACTGGGGTCACTGGAGGGTTATATGGGGTCACTGGGGGTCATCTGGGGTCACTGGGGTCACTGGAGGGTTATATGGGGTCACTGGGGGTCATCTGGGGTCACTGGGGGGTCATCTGGGGTCATCTGGGGTCATCTGGGGTTATATGGGGTCACTGGGGGTCATCTGGGGTCACTGGGGGGTCATCTGGGGTCATCTGGGGTCATCTGGGGTTATATGGGGTCACTGGGGTCACTAGGGGGTCATCTGGGGTCACCCCTAGTGTACCTCCCTAGTGTACCTGCCCTAGTGTACCCCCTAGTGTACCCCCCCTAGTGTACCCCCCTAGTGTACCTCCCTAGTGTACCCCCCCCTAGTGTACCACCCCTAGTGTACACCCCTAGTGTACCACCCCTAGTGTACCCCCCTAATGTACCCCCCCTAGTGTACCCCCCTAGTGTACCACCCCTAGTGTACCCCCTAGTGTACCCCCCTAGTGTATCACCCATAGTGTACCCCCCTAGTGTACCCCCTAGTGTGCCACCCCTAGTGTACCACCCCTAGTGTACCCCTCTAGTGTACCCCCTAGTGTACCACCCCTAGTGTACCCCCCCTAGTGTACGCCCCCTACTGTACCCCCCTAGTGTACGCCCTAGTGTACCACCCCCTACTGTACCACCCCTAGTGTACCCCCCTACTGTACCACCCCTAGTGCACCACCCCCTACTGTACCACCCCTAGTGAACCACCCCCTACTGTACCACCCCTAGTGTACCACCCCCTACTGGACCACCCCTAATGTACACCCCTACTGTACCACCCCTAGTGTACACCCCTAATGTACCACCCCTAGTGTACCACCCCTAGTGTACCCCCCTAGTGTACCCCCTAGTGTACCCCCTAGTGTACCCCCCCTAGTGTACCCCCCTAGTGTACCCCCCCTAGTGTACCCCCCCTACTGTACCACCCCTACTGTACCCCCCTAGTGTACCACCCCTACTGTACCACCCCCTACTGTACCACCCCTAGTGTACCACCCCTACTGTACCACCCCCTACTGTACCCCACCTAGTGTACCACCCCCTAGTGTACCACCCCTACTGTACCACCCCTACTGTACCACCCCTACTGTACCACCCCTACTGTACCACCCCCTACTGTACCACCCCTTCTGTACCACCCCTAGTGTACCCCCCCTAGTGTACCCCCCTAGTGAACCATCCCTAGTGTACCCCCCTAGTGTACCCCCCCTAGTGTACCACCCTAAGTGTACCCCCCTAGTGTACCTCCCCTAGTGTACGCCCCTACTGTACCACCCTAGTGTACCACCCTAGTGTACCACCCCTACTGTACCACCCCTACTGTACCACCCCCTTGTGTACCACCCCTACTGTACCACCCCTAGTGTACCACCCCTACTGTACCACCCCCTAGTGTACCACCCCCTAGTGTACCACCCCCTAGTGTACCACCCCTAGTGTACCACCCCTAGTGAACCCCCCTACTGTACCACCCCCTAGTGTACCACCCCTAGTGTACCACCCAGAGTGAACCCCCCTACTGTACCACCCCCTACTGTACCACCCCCTAGTGTACCACCCCCTACTGTACCACCCCTAGTGTACCACCCCTACTGTACCACCCCTAGTGTACCACCCCTACTGTACCACCCCCTAGTGTACCACCCCCTACTGTACCACCCCTAGTGTACCACCCCTACTGTACCACCCCCTAGTGTACCACCCCCTACTGTACCACCCCTAGTGTACCGCCCCTACTGTACCACGCCCTAGTGTACCCCCCCTAGTGTACCACCCCTAGTGCACCCCCCCCTACTGTACCCCCTTACTGTACCACCCTACTGTACCACCCCTACTGTACCACCCCCTACTGTACCACTCCTACTGTACCACCCCTACTGTACCACCCCCTAGTGTACCACCCCTACTGTACCACCCCTTAGTGTACCACCCCTAGTTTACCACCCCTAGTGTACCACCCTAGTGTACCACCCCTACTGTACCACCCCTACTGTACCACCCCCTACTGTACCCCCCTAGTGTACCACCCCCTACTGTACCACCCCTACTGTACCACCCCCTAGTGTACCACCCCTACTGTACCACCCCCTAGTGTACCACCCCTAGTGTACCACACCTAGTGTACCACCCCTACAGTACCACCCCTACTGTACCACCCCTAGTGTACCACCCCTACTGTACCACCCCCTACTGTACCCCTCTAGTGTACCACCCCCTACTGTACCACCCCTACTGTACCACCCCCTAGTGTACCACCCCTACTGTACCACCCCCTAGTGTACCACCCCTAGTGTACCACGCCTACTGTACCACCCCCTACTGTACCCCCCTACTGTACCACCCCCTACTGTACCACCCCCTAGTGTTCCACCCCTACTGTACCACCCCCTACTGTACCCCCCTACTGTACCACCCCCTAGTGTACAACCCCTACTGTACCACCCCCTAGTGAACTACCCCTACTGTACCACCCCCTAGTGTACCACCCCTACTGTACCACCCCCTACTGTACCCCCCTAGTGTACCACCCCTACTGTACCACCCCCTAGTGTACCACCCCTACTGTACCACCCCCTGCTGTACCCCCCTAGTGTACCACCCCTACTGTACACCCCTACTGTACCACCCCCTTCTGTACTCCCCTACTGTGCCACCCCCTACTGTACCACCCCCTAGTGTACCACCCCTACTGTACCACCCCCTAGTGTACCACCCCTACTGTACCACCCCCTAGTGTACCACCCCTACTGTACCACCCCCTACTGTACCCCCCTACTGTACCACCCCCTACTGTACCACCCCCTTGTGTACCACCCCTACTGTACCACCCCTACTGTACCACCCCTACTGTACCACCCCCACTGTACCACCCTAAAGTGTACCACCCCTACTGTACCACCCCCTAGTGTACCACCCCTACTGTACCACCCCCTACTGTACCCCCCTAGTGTACCACCCCTACTGTACCACCCCCTAGTGTACCACCCCTACTGTACCACCCCTAGTGTACCACCCCTACTGTACCACCCCTACTGTACCAACCCCTAGTGTACCACCCCTACTGTACCACCCCTAGTGTACCACCCCTACTGTACCACCCCTACTGTACCACTCCCTAGTGTACCACCCCTACTGTACCACCCCTAGTGTACCACCCCTACTGTACCACCCCCTACTGTACCACCCCTACTTTACCACCCCTACTGTACCACCCCTACTGAACCACCAGGGACAACGAGTCAGGGAACATCCTGGACAACCTACTCTCCAGGATGGAACAATACCCCCCCTAGTGTACCACCCCTACTGTACCACCCCCTAGTGTACCACCCCTACTGTACCACCCTTACTATACCACCCCTAGTATACCACCCCTAGTGTACCACCCCTACTGTACCACCCCTACTGTACCACCCCCTAGTGTACCACCCCTACTGTACCACCCCTAGTGTACCACCCCCTACTGTACCACCAGGGACAACGAGTCAGGGAACATCCTGGACAACCTACTCTCCAGGATGGAACAATACCCCCCCTACTGTACCACCCCTAGTGTACCACTCCCTACTGTACCACCCCCTAGTGTACCACCCCCTAGTGTACCACCCCTAGTGTACCACCCCCTACTGTACCCCCCCTAGTGTACCCCCCTACTGTACCACCCCTACTGTACCACCGCTACAGTACCACCCCTAGTGTACCACCCCCTACTGTACCACCCCTACTGTACCACCCCTACTGTACCACCGCTACTGTACCACCCATAGTGTACCACCCCCTACTGTACCACCCCTACTGTACCACCCCCTAGTGTACCACCCCCATACTGTACCACCAGGGACAACGAGTCAGGGAACATCCTGGACAACCTACTCTCCAGGATGGAACAATACCACCCCTAGTGTACCACCCCCTACTGTACCACCCCCTAGTGTACCACCCCCATACTGTACCACCAGGGACAACGAGTCAGGGAACATCCTGGACAACCTACTCTCCAGGATGGAACAATACGCCCCCTAGTGTACCACCCCTACTGTACCACCCCCTACTGTACCACCCCTACTGTACCACCCCTACTGTCCCACCAGGGACAACGAGTCAGGGAACATCCTGGACAACCTACTCTCCTGGATGGAACAATACGCCCCCTAGTGTACCACCCCTACTGTACCATCCCCTACTGTACCACCCCTACTGTACCACCCCTACTGTACCACCAGGGACAACGAGTCAGGGAACATCCTGGACAACCTACTCTCCAGGATGGAACAATACGCCCCCTAGTGTACCACCCCTACTGTACCACCCCCTACTGTACCACCCCTACTGTACCACCCCTACTGTACCACCAGGGACAACGAGTCAGGGAACATCCTGGACAACCTACTCTCCAGGATGGAACAATACGCCCCCTAGTGTACCACCCCCTACTGTACCACCCCCTAGTGTACCACCCCTACTGTACCACCCCTACTGTACCACCCCCTACTGTACCACCAGGGACAACGAGTCAGGCAACATCCTGGACAACCTACTCTCCAGGATGGAACAATACCCCCCCTAGTGTACCACCCCTACTGTACTACCCCCTACTGTACCACCCCCTACTGTACCACCAGGGACAACGAGTCAGGGAACATCCTGGACAACCTACTCTCCAGGATGGAACAATACCCCCCTAGTGTACCACCCCTACTGTACCACCGCTACTGTACCACCCCCTACTGTACCACCGCTACTGTACCACCAGGGACACCGAGTCATGGAACATCCTGGACAACCTACTCTCCAGGATGGAACAATACCCCCCCTAGTGTACCACCCCTAGTGTACCACCCCTACTGTACCACCCCTACTGTGCCACCAGGGACATCGAGTCAGGGAACATCCTGGACAACCTACTCTCCAGGATGGAACAATACCCCATCTAGTGTACCACCCCTACTGTACCACCCCTACTGTACCACCAACTACTGTACCACCCCTACTGTAACACCCCCTACTGTACCACCCCTACTGTATCACCAGGGACAACGAGTCAGGGAACATCCTGGACAACCTACTCTCCAGGATGGAACAATACCCCCCTACTGTACCACCCCTAGTGTACCACTCCCTACTGTACCACCCCCTAGTGTACCACCCCCTAGTGTACCACCCCTAGTGTACCACCCCCTACTGTACCCCCCCTAGTGTACCCCCCTACTGTACCACCCCTACTGTACCACCCCTACTGTACCACCGCTACTGTACCACCCCTAGTGTACCACCCCCTACTGTACCACCCCTACTGTACCACCCCTACTGTACCACCGCTACTGTACCACCCATAGTGTACCACCCCCTACTGTACCACCCCTACTGTACCACCCCCTAGTGTACCACCCCCATACTGTACCACCAGGGACAACGAGTCAGGGAACATCCTGGACAACCTACTCTCCAGGATGGAACAATACCACCCCTAGTGTACCACCCCCTACTGTACCACCCCCTAGTGTACCACCCCCATACTGTACCACCAGGGACAACGAGTCAGGGAACATCCTGGACAACCTACTCTCCAGGATGGAACAATACGCCCCCTAGTGTACCACCCCTACTGTACCACCCCCTACTGTACCACCCCTACTGTACCACCCCTACTGTACCACCCCTACTGTCCCACCAGGGACAACGAGTCAGGGAACATCCTGGACAACCTACTCTCCTGGATGGAACAATACGCCCCCTAGTGTACCACCCCTACTGTACCACCCCCTACTGTACCACCCCTACTGTACCACCCCTACTGTACCACCAGGGACAACGAGTCAGGGAACATCCTGGACAACCTACTCTCCAGGATAGAACAATACGCCCCCTAGTGTACCACCCCTACTGTACCACCCCCTACTGTACCACCCCTACTGTACCACCCCTACTGTACCACCAGGGACAACGAGTCAGGGAACATCCTGGACAACCTACTCTCCAGGATGGAACAATACGCCCCCTAGTGTACCACCCCCTACTGTACCACCCCCTAGTGTACCACCCCTACTGTACCACCCCTACTGTACCACCCCCTACTGTACCACCAGGGACAACGAGTCAGGCAACATCCTGGACAACCTACTCTCCAGGATGGAACAATACCTCCCCTAGTGTACCACCCCTACTGTACTACCCCCTACTGTACCACCAGGGACAACGAATCAGGGAACATCCTGGACAACCTACTCTCCAGGATGGAACAATACCCCCCTAGTGTACCACCCCTACTGTACCACCGCTACTGTACCACCCCCTACTGTACCACCGCTACTGTACCACCAGGGACACCGAGTCATGGAACATCCTGGACAACCTACTCTCCAGGATGGAACAATACCCCCCCTAGTGTACCACCCCTAGTGTACCACCCCTACTGTACCACCCCTACTGTACCACCAGGGACAACGAGTCAGGGAACATCCTGGACAACCTACTCTCCAGGATAGAACAATACGCCCCCTAGTGTACCACCCCTACTGTACCACCCCCTACTGTACCACCCCTACTGTACCACCCCTACTGTACCACCAGGGACAACGAGTCAGGGAACATCCTGGACAACCTACTCTCCAGGATGGAACAATACGCCCCCTAGTGTACCACCCCCTACTGTACCACCCCCTAGTGTACCACCCCTACTGTACCACCCCTACTGTACCACCCCTACTGTACCACCAGGGACAACGAGTCAGGCAACATCCTGGACAACCTACTCTCCAGGATGGAACAATACCTCCCCTAGTGTACCACCCCTACTGTACTACCCCCTACTGTACCACCAGGGACAACGAATCAGGGAACATCCTGGACAACCTACTCTCCAGGATGGAACAATACCCCCCTAGTGTACCACCCCTACTGTACCACCGCTACTGTACCACCCCCTACTGTACCACCGCTACTGTACCACCAGGGACACCGAGTCATGGAACATCCTGGACAACCTACTCTCCAGGATGGAACAATACCCCCCCCTAGTGTACCACCCCTAGTGTACCACCTTTACTGTACCACCAGGGACATCGAGTCAGGGAACATCCTGGACAACCTACTCTCCAGGATGGAACAATACCCCATCTAGTGTGCCACCCCTACTGTACCACCCCTAGTGTACCACCCCCTACTGTACCACCCCTAGTGTACCACCCCTACTGTACCACCCCTACTGTACCACCAGGGACATCGAGTCAGGGAACATCCTGGACAACCTACTCTCCAGGATGGAACAATACCCCATCTAGTGTGCCACCCCTACTGTACCACCCCTAGTGTACCACCCCCTACTGTACCACCCCTAGTGTACCACCCCTACTGTACCACCCCTACTGTACCACCCCCTACTGTACCACCCCCTACTGTACCACCCCTACTGTACCACCCCTACTGTACCACCCCCTACTGTACCACCCCCTACTGTACCACCCCTACTGTACCACCCCTACTGTACCACCCCTACTGTACCACCCCTACTGTACCACCCCTACTGTACCACCCCTACTGTACCACCAGGGACAACGAGTCAGGGAACATCCTGGACAACCTACTCTCCAGGATGGAACAATACCACCCCTAGTGTACCACCCCCTAGTGTACCACCCCTACTGTACCACCCCTACTGTACCACCCCCTACTGTACCACCCCTAGTGTACCACCCCTACTGTACCACCCCTACTGTACCACCAGGGACAACGAGTCAGGGAACATCCTGGACAACCTACTCTCCAGGATGGAACAATACCCCATCTAGTGTACCACCCCTACTGTACCACCCCTACTGTACCACCCCCTACTGTACCACCCCTAGTGTACCACCAGGGACAACGAGTCAGGGAACATCCTGGACAACCTACTCTCCAGGATGGAACAATACCACCCCTAGTGTACCACCCCCTAGTGTACCACCCCTACTGTACCACCCCTACTGTACCACCCCCTACTGTACCACCCCTAGTGTACCACCCCTACTGTACCACCCCTACTGTACCACCAGGGACAACGAGTCAGGGAACATCCTGGACAACCTACTCTCCAGGATGGAACAATACCCCATCTAGTGTACCACCCCTACTGTACCACCCCTACTGTACCACCCCCTACTGTACCACCCCTAGTGTACCACCCCTACTGTACCACCCCTACTGTACCACCAGGGACAACGAGTCAGGGAACATCCTGGACAACCTACTCTCCAGGATGGAACAATACGCCAACAACCTGGAGGCCCTGGTACAGGAGCGGACAGCTGACTACCTGGAGGAGAAGCGCCGCTGTGAGGAACTTCTCTACCAGCTCCTACCTAGGTAAGTCTTCTCTCTCACTCCCTCCATGGTCTCTCCCCTTCTCTCTCACTCCCTCCATGGTCTCTCCGCTTCTCTCTCACTCCCTCCATGGTCTCTCCCCTTCTCTCTCACTCCCTCCATGGTCTCTACCCTTCTCTCTCACTCCCTCCATGGTCTCTACCCTTCTCTCTCACTCCCTGCCTGGTGTCTACCCTTCTCTCTCACTCCCTCCATGGTCTCTACCCCTTCTCTCTCACTCCCTCCATGGTCTCTACCCCTTCTCTCTCACTCCCTCCATGGTCTCTACCCCTTCTCTCTCACTCCCTCCATGGTCTCTACCCTTCTCTCTCACTCCCTCCATGGTCTCTCCCCTTCTCTCTCACTCCCTCCATGGTCTCTCCCCTTCTCTCTCACTCCCTCCATGGTCTCTCCCCTTCTCTCTCACTCCCTCCATGGTCTCTCCCCTTCTCTCTCACTCCCTCCATGGTCTCTCCCCTTCTCTCTCACTCCCTCCATGGTCTCTCCCCTTCTCTCTCACTCCCTCCATGGTCTCTCCCCTTCTCTCTCACTCCCTCCATGGTCTCTCCCCTTCTCTCTCACTCCCTCCATGGTCTCTACCCTTCTCTCTCACTCCCTCCATGGTCTCTACCCTTCTCTCTCACTCCCTCCATGGTCTCTTCCCTTCTCTCTCACTCCCTCCATGGTCTCTACCCTTCTCTCTCACTCCCTGCCTGGTGTCTACCCTTCTCTCTCACTCCCTCCATGGTCTCTCCCCTTCTCTCTCACTCCCTCCATGGTCTCTACCCTTCTCTCTCACTCCCTGCCTGGTGTCTACCCTTCTCTCTCACTCCCTCCATGGTGTCTACCCTTCTCTCTCACTCCCTCCATGGTCTCTACCCTTCTCTCTCACTCCCTCCATCACTCCCTCTCTCCCCTTCTCTCTCACTCCCTCCATGGTCTCTACCCTTCTCTCTCACTCCCTCCGTGGTCTCTACCTCCTCGTTTACTGGTTCTCTCTCTTCCTATTCATTTGCGTCTTGGGGGAGGGGGGGCCATCCTGGTCTCAAGGCACCACTTCCTGCTACAGTGATCAATAATTGGAGACGGGCAGTGGACAGTGTCACTCTCACTCACCGCCGCCCACCATCAGTCCTCTCACACGCCTTCCTACCTCCTTGGTCCTCCTCGTGGCTGCGACTCGAACTTCCGGCTGCCTCCCGTCCGCTCTGACGTCACCGCTGTGTGTTTCATGCCTTGGATAATTGACAGGAAGGAACAGGGGGACGGAATAGGACTTGCCTCTCACTACTTACCTGTCAGTGACCGTGGGAACTGAGGTTCAGTCACTTCCCTCAGTAGACTGGACCTCACTTCCCAGTCACTTGTCACTGAGGTCCAGCTGAATGGTCCATCTACCACCCTTGTTGTACCTGTTGCTCTATATTTTAACTTTTCTAATGATTATATTTAGTCGAATCTGGCCTTTTAAGTTGTGGCTGGAGGTGGCTTACACAACTTCCTTCAGTGTGTTCCACTTGTACGCCACCTGTGTAGGGGAGGAGTACTTCCTTACATTGGTTTGGCTGATTTGCATTTTCTAGCTTTCACTTGTGTCTTCTTGTCCTGCTTCTTCTCACTTGGAAGACGCTATCCTTGTCTACCTTGAGTGAGGGACAAGAGGGACAGGATGGGCTTCATAAACTTGGATACAGGAACCTTGGTTACTGCATGAAACTAAGAATGTTTGGAAGGCGGGGGTTAGGAGCTAAGCCCGACTCTAAATGTACCTGTAGGAGAGTTCTTCCAAGTGACACACACACGCACAAACACACACACACACACACACATAAACACACACACACACACATAAACACACACACACACACACACACACACTCATGGAGATCATGGCTCATGGACGAGTCATTCATGGAGATGATTGCTAAGGCATGGAAGGAAGTCAGTGGGGAATTGAAGGACCTGAGGGAAACTATATGTAAGCTGCAGATAGATCTAAGTGCAGCACAAGAGGAGATAAAAAGCCTAAAAACAGGCCCTCATCAGACTCTGGCCCAGGGGACCAACCCCCAGGTGCCAGGAGATGTAGCAATGGCAGGGACCCCTACAATTGGCCCAACCTTTGCTGAAATGCTCAAGAGCCCAGGAGCAATGTCCACAGTCAAGGAAGTTGTAATGAAAGCAGTAACCTCACAGGAGGCAGCTAGATGCACAAGCCAGCTAATGGAAAGGAAAAGAGCTGTAGTAGTGGTAGGTGTCAAGGAACAAGAGGGCTCCACAAGGGAGGAAACGAGGACTAAAGACAAAGCTGCAGTGGCAGGGATATTAAAGGAGATAGGAATGGAAGGGGCTGAACGAGACATAGAACAGTTTTTCCGGATTGGCCAGTACAACAGAGACAAAAAGAGATTGATCAAGGTAGTATTCAAGAGCGAGGACATCAAAGAGGACATCCTAGTAAGGAAGAGCAAACTGAGGTATGCAAGGATCTACAAAGAGGTATATGTTCAGAGGGACATGACCAGAGACGAGATAGTAAGGGCAGCAGATGCAAGGAAAAGGCACAAGGAGAGGGAAGAGAGCCAGGGAACCTCAGCCTCCAACCCAGCAATCCCAGAGGGGAGTGGGGAACCCCAATCCAGCAACCCAGGAACCCCAGGGGGGAATGCAACACCCCAGCCCACCACCCAATAGGGCCCTCCCTACCCCCCAGCACAAACCCTTCCTTGCCCCTGCATAATGTCCATCATGAAACCCAAATCCTCCCCCTCCCCTTACCCCAAGTAGCCCCTGCTTTCCCAGCCCCTGGTCTTCTCCCTGCCCCAAGCAGGCCTGAGGAAGACCTAAGCCCTCCACCTCCCCCTGAACCCCTGGCAACTACCTCACAGGAGGAGGAGCCTACCCAAGTAGCAATGACCATAGAACAACCTCCTACACTTGTAGGGAGTGTGGGTGAAATTGGATATAAGAAAGTGAGCTTCAAGGTAATGTACTCAAACATTGATGGGATTACCAATAAAGCAAGTGAACTGGCAGAAAGGGTGCAAGAAGAAAACCCTGATGTAATAGGACTAACGGAAACAAAATTGTCAGGAGTCATAACAGATGCTGTGTTTCCAAAGGACTACTATATAGTAAGGAAAGAGAGGGAAGGGAGAGGAGGTGGAGGAGTGGCCCTGCTGATAAGGAAAGACTGGAGTTTTGATGAGATGGAAATTCCGGGCTGTGACGAATTCAGAGATTACATAACAGGAACGATAACAATGGGTGGACCTAAGATAATAGTGACAGTCATTTACAACCCTCCCCTAAATGACACAAGACCTAGACAAGAGTTTGATAGGAACAACATGGCAACCATTAATATAATAGAGAGAGCAGCTTCAGTTGCCTGCAGGAATTGCTCCAGACTCTTAATCATGGGTGATTTCAACCATGGAAAGATAGACTGGGAGAATGGGGACCCACATGGTGGTGCAGATACGTGGCGAGCTAAACTCTTGGAAGTGGCAACAAGGAATTTTCTGAGCCAGCATGTCAAGGAACCCACAAGAGTGAGAGGCAATGATGAACCAGCTAGACTCGACTTGATATTCACCCTGAATGCGTCAGAAATAAGGGAAGTCAAAGTTGAAGCCCCCAGAGGAATGAGTGACCACAGTGTACTGACCTTTGAGTACTTGGTGGAGGTAGGGATAACCTATCCAAGGATGGGAGTGGAGGGGATGAATTACCGAAGAGGAAAATATGACGAGATGAGGAACTTCCTCAGGGGAATACCATGGGAAACAGAACTTAGAGACAAGAATGTGCAGGTCATGATGGATATTGTCACCCAAAAGTGCCAGGAAGCTGCAGACAGGTTTATCCCCGTCCAAAAGGAGAAAAACGAAAAACAACAGAAAAACCCATGGTTCAACCAGGAATGTAAGGTAGCGAAACAACTGAGTAAAAGAACATGGAGAAACTACAGAAATAACAGAACACCAGAGAGCAGGGAGAGATACCAGAGGGCCAGAAATGAGTACATCAGAGTGAGGAGGGAAGCAGAGAGACAGTTTGAAAATGACATCGCGAGTAAAGCCAAGACCCAACCAAAGCTGCTCCACAGCCACATCAGGAGGAAAACAGCAGTGAAGGAACAAGTGATGAAGCTGCAGACAGGGGAGAACAGATACACAGAGAATGACAAGGAGGTGTGTGAAGAACTCAACAAGAGATTCCAGGAGGTCTTCACAATAGAACAAGGAGAAGCCCCTGCACTAAATGAGGAGGCGGCAAACCAAGCAACCTTGGAGGAATTTGACCTCACCAGTGATGAGGTCAAAAGGTGTCTGCTGGAGCTGGATGTGACAAAGGCTGTTGGGCCTGATAGAATCTCACCATGGATACTAAAGGAAGGTGCAGAAGCACTAAGTGTGCCACTCTCTATGGTGTATAACAGGTCACTGGAAACAGGAGACTTACCAGAAAGTTGGAAGACAGCTAACGTGGTCCCAATATACAAAAAGGGTGACAGGCAAGAGGCACTGAATTACAGGCCAGTTTCCTTAACTTGTATACCATGCAAGGTGCTGGAGAAGATTGTGAGGAAAAGGCTCGTAGAGCATCTGGAGGGAAATAACTTTGTAACGCACCACCAACATGGGTTCAGAGATGGTAAATCGTGCCTCACAGGGTTAATAGAATTTTATGACCAGGCAACGAAAATTAGGCAGGAAAGAGAAGGGTGGGCCGACTGCATTTTCCTGGATTGCCAAAAAGCCTTCGACACAGTACCCCATAAAAGGCTGTTACAAAAGTTGGAGCAACAGGCAGGAGTAAAAGGAAGGTGCTCCAGTGGATAAGGGAGTACTTAAGCAACAGGAAACAGCGAGTAACGGTGAGGGGGAAGACATCAGAGTGGCGAGATGTCACCAGCGGAGTCCCACAGGGCTCAGTACTTGGACCCATCCTGTTTCTAATATATGTGAACGATCTTCCAGAGGGTATAGACTAATTCCTCTCGATGTTTGCTGATGATGCAAAAATTATGAGAAGAATCAAGACGGATGAAGATAGACAGAGACTACAGGATGACCTGGATAAACTGGAGGAATGGTCTAGAAAATGGCTGCTAAAGTTCAACTCGGGAAAGTGTAAGGTGATGAAATTAGGCGAAGGGAGCAGGAGGCTGAACACAAGGTATCATCTGGGAGGTGAAATCCTGCAAGAGTCAAATAGAGAGAAGGATCTGGGGGTTGATATCACACCGAACCTGTCCCCAGAGGCCCACATCAAAAGAATATCATCAGCGGCATATGCTAGACTGGCCAACATAAGAACTGCCTTCAGAAACTTGTGTAAGGAATCTTTCAGAACCCTGTATACCACTTATGTGAGACCAATCCTGGAGTATGCAGCTCCAGCCTGGAGTCCATACCTAGTTAAACACAAGACAAAGTTAGAGAAGATTCAGCGGTATGCCACCAGGCTCGTCCCGGAACTGAGAGGATTGAGCTACGAGGAAAGGCTAAAGGAGCTGAACCTCACATTCCTGGAAAACAGAAGAGTAAGGGGAGACATGATAACCACCTACAAAATTCTCAGGGGAATTGACAGGGTGGACAAAGACACACTCTTCAGCACGGGTGGGACACGAACAAGGGGACACAGGTGGAAACTTAGTACCCAGATGAGCCACAGAGACATTAGAAAGAATTTTTTCAGTGTCAGAGTAGTTAATAAATGGAATGCATTAGGAAGTGGTGTGGTGGAGGCTGACTCCATACACAGTTTATAGTGTAGATATGATAGAGCCCAATAGGCTCAGGAATCTGTACACCAGTTGATTGGCAGTTGAGAGGCGGGACCAAAGAGCCAAAGCTCAACCCCCGCAAGCACAATTAGGTGAGTACAATTAGGTGAGTACACACTTTGATAGACAGTTGGAACAAGTTAGGGGAGAAGGTGGTGGAGGCCAAGACCGTCACCAGTTTCAAAGCGTTTCACGACAAAGAGTACTGGGAAGACGGGACACCACGAGCATAGCTCTCATCCTCTAACTATACTTATCTGACTACCTTTAGGTAATTACTAGAAATATTAGAGGACATCCCATTACCAACACACATTTCTGAAGGAGATGAAGAGAACGTATTGAGGGATGGACCCGTTACATGTGACACAATCAGGGATGGACCCGTTACATGTGACACAATCAGGGATGGACCCGTTACATGTGACACAATCAGGGATGGACCCGTTACATGTGACACAATCAGGGATGGACCCGTTACATGTGACACAATCAGGGATGGACCCGTTACATGTGACACAATCAGGGATGGACCCGTTACATGTGACACAATCAGGGATGGACCCGTTACATGTGACACAATCAGGGATGGACCCGTTACATGTGACACAATCAGGGATGGACCCGTTACATGTGACACAATCAGGGATGGACCCGTTACATGTGACACAATCAGGGATGGACCCGTTACATGTGACACAATCAGGGATGGACCCGTTACATGTGACACAATCAGGGATGGACCCGTTACATGTGACACAATCAGGGATGGACCCGTTACATGTGACACAATCAGGGATGGACCCGTTACATGTGACACAATCAGGGATGGACCCGTTACATGTGACACAATCAGGGATGGACCCGTTACATGTGACACAATCAGGGATGGACCCGTTACATGTGACACAATCAGGGATGGACCCGTTACATGTGACACAATCAGGGATGGACCCGTTACATGTGACACAATCAGGATGAATACTGACACACAAAGACACTCAACAGCCCCAGGTGTGGATGGGATTAAATATAAAGTAGGACAGGAAGTGACAGATACAGTGAGGGTTAGTGTGGGCACTCATGTAAAGTAGGACAGGAAGTGACAGATACAGTGAGGGTTAGTGTGGGCACTCATCAGTGAGGGTTAGTGTGGGCACTCATCAGTGAGGGTTAGTGTGGACACTCATGTAAAGTAGGACAGGAAGTGACAGATACAGTGAGGGTTAGTGTGGGCACTCATCAGTGAGGGTTAGTGTGGGCACTCATCAGTGAGGGTTAGTGTGGGCACTCATCAGTGAGGGTTAGTGTGGGCACTCATGTTCAGTGTTTGCTGGCCTTTTACCTGCTATTATAACTTCTCATCTTTACTCATATCATACACAGGACAGGAGATGAGTACATGGTTCATGAGTAGGACAAGTTCAATGCCTTAAGCCACTAATACGCAGTGTGTTTTGGGCATAATATGGGAAAGTCATTATGAAAAGAAGGCACCAAACTGGGATGGCTATGTAGCATAATATGGGAAAACGAATATTATAGACTTAAAACTAAATGAGAATCAAAAAGAATAATGAACTGAATTGAATATAAATAAAATTACAATTATTACATGATTAGAAAAGGAAAAATGGCAACAGAATATATTAACTTTACAGCATAAGCCGAACAATACAATTTTGCATTCAATGTTTACATGACAGACGAGAGCAGTAGTACCCAGCTAGATATCATAGATGTTGTGCATTTCTGAGATCATCTTCCCACATTGTGTGCTTCAGAGTTGTCTAGGTTACAAATCCACAAGGGCCGTGACGAGGATTCGAACCTGCGTCCGAGAGCATCCCAGACGCTGCCTTAATCGACTGAGCTACGACATGTTAAAAGAGTTGTCTAAGTTACAAATCCACAAGGGCCGTGACGAGGATTCGAACCTGCGTCCGAGAGCATCCCAGACGCTGCCTTAATCGACTGAGCTACGACATGGTAAAAAGAGTTGTCTATGTTACAAATCCACAAGGGCCGTGACGAGGATTCGAACCTGCGTCCGAGAGCATCCCAGACGCTGCCTTAATCGACTGAGCTACGACATGGTAAAAGAGTTGTCTATGTCACCATTAATGTGTTTCAGGTCTGTAGCCAGCCAGCTGATTGCAGGGAAGAGCGTGGTGGCTGAGACTTACGATTGTGTCACCATCTACTTCAGTGATATAGTGGGCTTCACGGCACTCTCTGCACAATCCACACCACTACAGGTCAGTAGGTCCACCTCTCGTCCATATCTCTATGCTCAGCCAGTTTTCATAAAACAATGGCCAAATGCTCTTTAATTTTTCCCTGGAAACACAAACCGAAACTGTCTCTATTTCCCGCTTGTTACAACTTGTAATAAAGTTGTTACATCTTGGCTTAACGTGTTTAGGACGTATTAGAACGTTGTTACAACTTGCTATATTGGTTGTTATAACTGGTTAGGCGTTAAAACTTGTTCGAACGTTGTACCAACGTCGTAGTTTCGGTGTGTGTTTGGTGGTATAATGTCCGTGCAAGAATGATCTTTTCTATAATTGTCTTATATAGAATATTTTATACCTCAATTCCTCCATGATTTTCCAGGTGGTTGATCTACTAAACGACTTGTACACGCGATTTGATGCCATTATTGAAAATTTTGATGTATATAAGGTAAGTGAATTCTCAACATCATATTAATAGAGAATTTTGATTAAGTCAAAACGTGAAGCCAAAGAAGGAAAATTAATTTTGATGTAAATTTATAATCCATGTGAAACAGATAAGAAGATAAATGTTAATGAATACTGCAATGATGCTAAGACTTGTGAATAGTACATGCTGGACACTGGCTGGAAGCATGTATCATGTATAGCACATGCTGGACACTGGCTAGAAGCATGTATCATGTATAGCACATGCTGGACACTGGCTAGAAGCATGTATCATGTATAGTACATGCTGGACACTGGCTGGAAGCATGTATCATGTATAGTACATGCTGGACACTGGCTAGAAGCATGTATCATGTATAGCACATGCTGGACACTGGCTGGAAGGATGTATCATGTATAGTACATGCTGGACACTGGCTGGAAGCATGTATCATGTATAGCACATGCTGGACACTGGCTGGAAGCATGTATCATGTATAGTACATGCTGGACACTGGCTGGAAGCATGTATCATGTATAGTACATGCTGGACACTGGCTAGAAGCATGTATCATGTATAGTACATGCTGGACACTGGCTGGAAGCATGTATCATGTATAGTACATGCTGGACACTGGCTGGAAGCATGTATCATGTATAGTACATGCTGGACACTGGCTAGAAGCATGTATCATGTATAGTACATGCTGGACACTGGCTGGAAGCATGTATCATGTATAGTACATGCTGGACACTGGCTGGAAGCATGTATCATGTATAATATATGCTGGACACTGGCTGGAAGCATGTATCATGTATAGTACATGCTGGACACTGGCTGGAAGCATGTATCATGTATAGTACATGCTGGACACTGGCTGGAAGCATGTATCATGTATAGTACATGCTGGACACTGGCCAGAAGCATGTATCATGTATAGTACATGCTGGACACTGGCTGGAAGCATGTATCATGTATAGTACATGCTGGACACTGGCTGGAAGCATGTATCATGTATAGTACATGCTGGACACTGGCTGGAAGCATGTATCATGTATAGTACATGCTGGACACTGGCTGGAAGCATGTATCATGTATAGTACATGCTGGACACTGGCCAGAAGCATGTATCATGTATAGTACATGCTGGACACTGGCTGGAAGCATGTATCATGTATAGTACATGCTGGACACTGGCCAGAAGCATGTATCATGTATAGTACATGCTGGACACTGGCTGGAAGCATGTATCATGTATAGTACATGCTGGACACTGGCTGGAAGCATGTATCATGTATAGTACATGCTGGACACTGGCTGGAAGCATGTATCATGTATAGTACATGCTGGACACTGGCTGGAAGCATGTATCATGTATAGTACATGCTGGACACTGGCTAGAAGCATGTATCACGTATATCATGTATCATGCTGGAGATTGGCCAGAAGTATGTATTATGTATAATACGTACTGGACACAGGCTTCAAGCATGTATCATGTATAGTTCATGCTGGACACTGGCCAGAAGGATGTATCATGTATAGTACATGCTGGACACTGGCTGGAAGCATGTATCATGTATAGTACATGCTGGACACTGGCTGGAAGCATGTATCATGTATAGTACATGCTGGACACTGGCCAGAAGCATGTATCATGTATAGTACATGCTGGACACTGGCTGGAAGCATGTATCATGTATAGTACATGCTGGACACTGGCTGGAAGCATGTATCATGTATAGTACATGCTGGACACTGGCTGGAAGCATGTATCATGTATAGTACATGCTGGACACTGGCTGGAAGCATGTATCATGTATAGTACATGCTGGACACTGGCTGGAAGCATGTATCATGTATAGTTCATGCTGGAGACTGGCCAGAAGCATGTATCATGTATAGTACATGCTGGACACTGGCTGGAAGCATGTATCATGTATAGTACATGCTGGACACTGGCTGGAAGCATGTATCATGTATAGTACATGCTGGACACTGGCTAGAAGCATGTATCATGTATAATACATACTGGACACTGGCTAGAAGCATGTATCATGTATAATACATACTGGACACTGGCTAGAAGCATGTATCATGTATAATACATACTGGACACTGGCTTCAAGCATGTATCATGTATGATACATGCTGGTAACAGGTATACATCATGTATCAGCAACAATACAATATACAATAACACAAGTACTGTACACTAAAGCATAAGTGTACAAATAGTGTACTTCTAGTATATCTATACTTCAAAAATCATTTGAGAAATTTTGTTATCACATCCTCCATATGAAACACAAATTATATATATCTTGATTTTCTTTAAATAAAAATGTTTAGGATGGATTAATAGGTATTTCTCAAGGGAAGGGAAATCACAATAGTCTGATGCATCACGAACACATCCACAAGGGCCGTGACGAGGGTTTGAACAAGGGCAGTAGACCTTTCGGTTGCAATTCTTTTAACCATGTCGTAGGGCAGTTGATTAAGGCAGCGTCTGGGATGCTCTCGGGCGTAGGTTCGAACCCTCGTCACGGCCCTTGTGGACTTGTTCGTAGGGAAGCAAGTAGCAAGGCTGCAAAAATCACTTCATATGAAACATTTGATCTTCTGCATTCAAAAATTAACTCTTCAAAAGTTCATTTTAGAATTTGGCCTGATACTAAATGGTGTATTTCTGGAGCTTGTGGGGTAGAGTACTGTCTTCATTCTTGTACAGTTCTTCTTTGTTAAAATACATTAATTACCATATAATACATTAAAGGGCAATGTTAAGAAGAAATGTTTATTAGTTAACATCATTGTTAATTAACTTCATGTAACCAATTTTCCTCATCTTCTCTCATGTGCCGTGTCAACCAGTCTTTTGCTCTTATTGAGAACATGTATCAACAATTATCACACCTCTACTCTTACTTAATAATGCTTTTTCTAAATTTCATAAAATGTTCTATGTTGTTTTTCTAAATAACGTCTACAATCTCAAAATGGGTAAATATGTGCCGTTAAAACACCTGTTCTTGTTTACAAATGTTTTTTATCTCTGCCAATTATTTTCAAATGTTTCTACACTCTCATTTAATTTTAAGAATTATTCTGTTAGATTTGGAGAAAATTAATGCCTATTTTTTTTGCAAATGCTTAAATCTGTACTGTATATCACTTGCTAAATTACTTAAACAATGTATATATTGGCATCTTATTTAGTATTGTCTACCTCATCAAGTCTTAAAATGAGTTTGGTTGTTTAAAGTTAGGCCCAAAAAACTTTCAATTTTAGTGGCCTTATTAAGTATACATACACTGTATAAATTATTTAACCATTGTACACATACTCTCAACATAACTACTATACTGTACTTTAGAAAACCATCCAATTTCCAAGTTTTCCCTATTCCATAAATACTGGTGCCTTCATCACCAGTTGTAGCCCCCATCACCAGGTGTATGTAGCCCCTCATCACTAGGTGTAGCCCCCATCACCAGGTGTAGCCCCCATCACCAGGTGTAGCCTTCATCACCAGGTGTAGCCCCCATCACCAGGTGTAGCCTTCATCACCAGGTGTAGCCCCCATCACCAGGTGTAGCCTTCATCACCAGGTGTAGCCCCCATCACCAGGTGTAGCCCCCATCACCAGGTGTAGCCCCCATCACCAGGTGTAGCCTTCATCACCAGGTGTAGCCCCCATCACCAGGTGTATGTAGCCCCTCATCACTAGGTGTAGCCAGGTGTCATCACCAGGTGTAGCCCCTCATCACTAGGTGTAGCCCCTCATCACTAGGTGTAGCCCCCTCATCACTAGGTGTAGCCCCTCATCACTAGGTGTAGCCCCTCATCACTAGGTGTATGTAGCCCCTCATCACTAGGTGTAGCCCCTCATCACTAGGTGTAGTAGCCCTCATCACTAGGTGTAGCCCCTCATCACTAGGTGTAGCCCTCATCACTAGGTGTAGCCCCTCATCACTAGGTGTAGCCCTCATCACTCACTAGGTGTAGCCCTCATCACCAGGTGTATGTAGTCCCTCATCACCAGTGTGTAGTCCCTCATCACTAGGTGTAGCCCCTCATCACTAGGTGTAGCCCTCATCCCTCATCACTAGGTGTAGCCCTCATCACCAGGTGTAGCCCTCATCACCAGGTGTATGTAGTCCCTCATCACTAGGTGTAGCCCTCATCATCACTAGGTGTATCACCAGGTGTATGTAGTCCCTCATCACTAGGTGTAGCCCTCATCACTAGGTGTAGCCCTCATCACCAGGTGTATGTAGCCCTCATCACTAGGTGTAGCCCCTCATCACTAGGTGTAGCCCTCATCACAGGTGTAGCCCTCATCACTAGGTGTAGCCCCATCACTCACTAGGTGTAGCCCTCATCACCAGGTGTATGTAGTCCCTCATCACCAGGTGTATGTAGTCCCTCATCACTAGGTGTAGCCCTCATCACTAGGTGTAGTCCCTCATCACTAGGTGTAGCCCCTCATCACCCTCATCATCACTAGGTGTAGTCATCCCTCATCACTAGGTGTAGTCCCTCATCACCAGGTGTATGTAGTCCCTCATCACTAGGTGTAGCCCTCATCACCAGGCACATCACTAGTAGCCCTCATCACTAGGTGTAGCCCCTCATCACTATCACATCACTAGGTGTAGCCCTCATCACCAGGCACTGTAGTCCCTCATCACCAGGTGTAGTCCCTCATCACCAGGTGTATGTAGGTAGGTGTAGCCCTCATCACTAGGTGTAGTCCCTCATCACTAGGTGTAGCCCCTCATCACTAGGTGTAGCCCTCATCACTAGGTGTAGCCCTCATCACTAGGTGTAGCCCTCATCACTAGGTGTAGCCCTCATCACTAGGTGTAGCCCTCATCACTAGTGTGTAGCCCTCATCACTAGGTGTATGTAGTCCCTCATCACCAGGTGTATGTAGTCCCTCATCACTAGGTGTAGCCCTCATCACTAGGTGTAGTCCCTCATCACTAGGTGTAGCCCCTCATCACTAGGTGTAGCCCTCATCACCAGGCACTCACTAGGTGTAGCCCTCATCACCAGGTGTATGTAGTCCCTCATCACCAGGTGTATGTATTCCCTCATCACTAGGTGTAGCCCTCATCACTAGGTATAGTCCCTCATCACTAGGTGTAGCCCCTCATCACTAGGTGTAGCCCTCATCACTAGGTGTAGCCCCTCATCACTAGGTGTAGCCCCCATCACTAGGTGTAGCCCCCTCACCAGGCACTCACAGCCTTCATCACCAGGTATGTAGCCCCCATCACATCATCACTAGGTGTAGTCCCTCATCACTAGGTGTAGCCCCTCATCACTAGGTGTAGCCCCTCATCACTAGGTGTAGCCCCTCATCACATCACCAGGTGTATGTAGCCCCTCATCACTAGGTGTAGCCCCTCATCACTAGGTGTAGCCCTCATCACTAGGTGTAGCCCCTCATCACTAGGTGTAGCCCTCATCACTAGGTGTAGCCCTCATCACCAGGCACTCACTAGGTGTAGCCTTCATCACTAGGTGTATGTAGTCCCTCATCACCAGGTGTATGTAGTCCCTCATCACTAGGTGTAGCCCCTCATCACTAGGTGTAGCCCCCATCACCAGGTGTATGTAGCCCCTCATCACTAGGTGTAGCCCCTCATCACTAAGTGTAGTCCCTCATCACTAGGTGTAGCCCCTCATCACTAGGTGTAGCCCCTCATCACTAGGTGTAGCCCCTCATCACTAGGTGTAGCCCCTCATCACTAGGTGTAGCCCCTCATCACTAGGTGTAGCCCCTCATCACTAGGTGTAGCCCCCATCACCAGGCACTCACTAGGTGTAGCCCTCATCACCAGGTGTATGTAGCCCCTCATCACTAGGTGTAGCCCCTCATCACTAGGTGTAGCCCCTCATCACTAGGTGTAGCCCCTCATCACTAGGTGTAGCCCCTCATCACCAAGCACTCACTAGGTGTAGCCCTCATCACCAGGTGTAGCCCCTCATCACTAGGTGTAGCCCCTCATCACTAGGTGTAGCCCCCATCACCAGGCACTCACCAGGTGTAGCCCTCATCACCAGGTGTATGTAGCCCCTCATCACCAGGTGTATGTAGCCCCTCATCACCAGGTGTATGTAGCCCCTCATCACTAGGTGTAGCCCCTCATCACTAGGTGTAGCCCTCATCACTAGGTGTAGCCCCTCATCACTAGGTGTAGCCCTCATCACTAGGTGTAGCCCCTCATCACATCACTAGGTGTAGCCCTCATCACTAGGTGTAGTAGCCCTCATCACTAGGTGTATGTAGCCCTCATCACTAGGTGTAGCCCTCATCACCAGGCACTCACTAGGTGTAGCCTTCATCACCAGGTGTATGTAGCCCTCATCACTAGGTGTAGCCCCTCATCACTAGGTGTAGCCCTCATCACCAGGCACTCACTAGGTGTAGCCCTCATCACCAGGTGTATGTAGCCCTCATCACCAGGTGTATGTAGTCCCTCATCACTAGGTGTATCCCCTCATCACTAGGTGTAGCCCTCATCACCAGGCACTCACTAGGTGTAGCCCTCATCACTAGGTGTATGTAGCCCTCATCACTAGGTGTAGCCCTCATCACCAGGCACTCACTAGGTGTAGCCTTCATCACCAGGTGTATGTAGCCCTCATCACTAGGTGTAGCCCCTCATCACTAGGTGTAGCCCTCATCACCAGGCACTCACTAGGTGTAGCCCTCATCACCAGGTGTATGTAGCCCTCATCACCAGGTGTATGTAGTCCCTCATCACTAGGTGTATCCCCTCATCACTAGGTGTTGCCCTCATCACCAGGCACTCACTAGGTGTAGCCCTCATCACCAGGTGTATGTAGCCCTCATCACCAGGTGTATGTAGTCCCTCATCACTAGGTGTAGCCCCTCATCACTAGGTGTAGCCCTCATCACTAGGTGTAGCCCTCATCACCAGGTGTATGTAGCCCTCATCACTAGGTGTATGTAGCCCTCATCACTAGGTGTAGCCCCTCATCACTAGGTGTAGCCCTCATCACTAGGTGTAGCCCTCATCACCAGGTGTAGCCCCCATCACCAGGTGTAGCCCTCATCACCAGGTGTAGCCCTCATCACTAGGTGTATGTAGCCCTCATCACTAGGTGTAGCCCCTCATCACTAGGTGTAGCCCTCATCACTAGGTGTAGCCCCCATCACCAGGTGTAGCCCCCATCACCAGGCACTCACTAGGTGTAGCCCTCATCACCAGGTGTATGTAGTCCCTCATCACTAGGTGTAGCCCCTCATCACTAGGTGTAGCCCTCATCACTAGGTGTAGCCCTCATCACTAGGTGTAGCCCCCATCACCAGGTGTAGCCCCCATCACCAGGTGTAGCCCCCATCACCAGGCACTCACTAGGTGTAGCCCTCATCACTAGGTGTAGCCCCTCATCACTAGGTGTAGCCCCTCATCACTAGGTGTAGCCCTCATCACCAGGCACTCACTAGGTGTAGCCCTCATCACCAGGTGTATGTAGCCCTCATCACCAGGTGTATGTAGTCCCTCATCACTAGGTGTAGCCCCTCATCACTAGGTGTAGCCCTCATCACTAGGTGTAGCCCTCATCACCAGGTGTATGTAGCCCTCATCACTAGGTGTATGTAGCCCTCATCACTAGGTGTAGCCCCTCATCACTAGGTGTAGCCCTCATCACTAGGTGTAGCCCTCATCACTAGGTGTAGCCCTCATCACCAGGTGTAGCCCCCATCACCAGGTGTAGCCCTCATCACCAGGTGTAGCCCTCATCACTAGGTGTATGTAGCCCTCATCACTAGGTGTAGCCCCTCATCACTAGGTGTAGCCCTCATCACTAGGTGTAGCCCCCATCACCAGGTGTAGCCCCCATCACCAGGTGTAGCCCCCATCACCAGGCACTCACTAGGTGTAGCCCTCATCACCAGGTGTATGTAGTCCCTCATCACTAGGTGTAGCCCCTCATCACTAGGTGTAGCCCTCATCACTAGGTGTAGCCCTCATCACTAGGTGTAGCCCCCATCACCAGGTGTAGCCCCCATCACCAGGTGTAGCCCCCATCACCAGGCACTCACTAGGTGTAGCCCTCATCACTAGGTGTAGCCCCTCATCACTAGGTGTAGCCCCTCATCACTAGGTGTAGCCCTCATCACCAGGCACTCACTAGGTGTAGCCCTCATCACCAGGTGTATGTAGCCCTCATCACCAGGTGTATGTAGTCCCTCATCACCAGGTGTAGCCCCTCATCACTAGGTGTAGCCCTCATCACCAGGTGTATGTAGTCCCTCATCACTAGGTGTAGTCCCTCGTCACTAGGTGTAGCCCTCATCACTAGGTGTAGCCCTCATCACTAGGTGTAGCCCTCTCACCAGGTGTAGCCCCTCATCACTAGGTGTAGCCCTCATCACTAGGTGTAGCCCTCATCACTAGGTGTAGCCCCTCATCACTAGGTGTAGCCCCTCGTCACCAGGTGTAGCCCCTCATCACTAGGTGTAGCCCCCATCACTAGGTGTAGCCCTCATCACTAGGTGTAGCCCCTCGTCACCAGGTGTAGCCCCTCATCACTAGGTGTAGCCCTCATCACTAGGTGTAGCCCCTCATCACTAGGTGTAGCCCTCATCACTAGGTGTAGCCCCTCATCACTAGGTGTAGCCCCTCATCACTAGGTGTAGCCCTCATCACTAGGTGTAGCCCCTCGTCACCAGGTGTAGCCCCTCATCACTAGGTGTAGCCCCCATCACTAGGTGTAGCCCTCATCACTAGGTGTAGCCCCTCGTCACCAGGTGTAGCCCCTCATCACTAGGTGTAGCCCTCATCACTAGGTGTAGCCCCTCATCACTAGGTGTAGCCCTCATCACTAGGTGTAGCCCCTCATCACTAGGTGTAGCCCCTCATCACTAGGTGTAGCCCCCATCACCAGGCACTCACTAGGTGTAGCCTTCATCACCAGGTGTATGTAGCCCTCATCACCAGGTGTATGTAGCCCCTCATCACTAGGTGTAGCCCTCATCACCAGGCACTCACTAGGTGTAGCCCCTCATCACCAGGTGTAGCCCCCATCACCAGGCACTCACTAGGTGTAGCCCTCATCACTAGGTGTAGCCCCTCATCACTAGGTGTAGCCCCTCATCACAAGGTGTAGCCCCTCATCAGTAGGTGTAGCCCCTCATCACTAGGTGTAGCCCCTCATCATTAGGTGTAGCCCCTCATCACTAGGTGTAGCCCTCATCACCAAGCACTCACTAGGTGTAGCCCCTCATCACTAGGTGTAGCCCCTCATCACTAGGTGTAGCCCTCATCACCAAGCACTCACTAGGTGTAGCCCTCATCACTAGGTGTAGCCCTCATCACCAAGTACTCACTAGGTGTAGCCCTCATCACTAGGTGTAGCCCTCATCACCAAGCACTCACCAGGTGCACCCCACATCACTAAGTACTGACTAGTGTGTCGTCACCAGGTGGAGACTATTGGTGATGCGTACATGGTGGTGTCAGGGCTGCCGATGAGGAACGGGAGCCAACACACGCGGGAGATCGCCAGCATGTCTCTAGCGCTCCTGAGGGAGGTGGAGACCTTCACCATCCGCCACCGCCCCACTGACAAGCTCAAGCTGAGGATCGGCATGCACACAGGGCCATGTGTGGCCGGGGTGGTTGGCCTCAAGATGCCTCGCTACTGTCTCTTCGGTGACACTGTTAATACAGCTTCGCGCATGGAGAGCAACGGCCAGCGTAAGATCAGACTTTATAACCAGTATCCTTATCACTTCCCTAACCTGTCAAGTCTAAATTTATTCTTCTATTCTCCTAGACTAAAGTACTTGACTACTATATTGGTTTCATTTTTCGTTATTGTTTAATTAGCTTGCAATTGATATTGAAAATCGATATTAGTTGACGCAATATATGGTACAGAACTACATTTGATCTAGACTTTTAGACATGTAAAATATTTAACAAGAAGAGAGCTCAACTTTGACATTTACTATCCCAGTGTTCAGTCTTGTATCCCTTGATAAACTCCTCGGTCAGTTTGATGTACTCGACATCCACTACACTTTCCTCTCTCAGCTCTTGTATTTCCCTGATGATTTCCAAGAATTTTATAATATTATGACACAAGTGCTAAATAGTCTTCCATTTTTTAAAACACATTGAAATTGACCTGGTAAAGCTTGTGTACAAAATGGGATACAAACCTGTACACAAACTACAAGCTTTCTGTTTCTAGTAACTGAATGTGTAAGTACTTATCAACAGAAGGCACCAAACTGGGAAGGTTAGGTTAGGTTAGGTTAGGTTAGGTTAGGCTAACCTAACCGGTAAGGCTGTGTAGCAGGAACAAATGTGCGGGATACTGTGAGGGCGCTAAATATCACCAAGGATGCCAACTGGATGTGTAATTAGACATTACTGACCTTGATCTTTATAACATTGACCTCAGATCCAGTCCCTATCTAACTTATTTTTGGTCCAGGTTTTTTCTGGAAAATGTTCCTAATAAAGCTAACCTTAATGAGTGGGAACCAGTTTTCTATTTACATCATGTGTAGTCTATGCATTTAGCGTGATATATATTTTATGATATTAACCTACTACAGTGTTGTTTATTATTTTATGACACATTAATTCTAATACAGTAATAATATATTTATTGTAGGATAAACCTACACTTTTGTATGTGTGAATTTTAAGTCAATATTTACATCAAGTCTTTCACACTCCTGAATGCTTTGTCAAAGTCTGATTATGTGGTAAAGACGAGTAAAGACGAGACTTACATCTTGATGACTTATTAATCATGAAGATGTACGTCTCGTCTTACCACAATCAGATCTCGACAAAGCACTCAGGAGTGTTAAAGACTTGGTGTAAATCTTGACTTAAAATTCACAAATACACAACATAGGATAAAAACACACACACTTTTGTCATTAAGAACACATTACCATAACTTAGCACATGTATTCATGGTTACTCACCTCTTTTCACAGCCTTGAAAATCCACGTTTCTCCAACTACACAAAAGGTGCTAGCAGAACACTATCCGTCATTCATACTCGAGTTACGAGGAGAAGTCGACATGAAGGTATTGTGGCCGTGTACTGTTTGCGTTTATCCACGTGTGATCAGCGATATATAATGAGCAGGCGATGAGTCACAATAACGTGGCTGAAGTAGTTTGACCAGACCACACACTAGAAGGTGAAGGGACGACGACGTTTCGGTCCGTCTTGGACCATTCTCAAGTCGATTGTCTAGAAAATGGTTCAGGATGGACCGAAACGTCGTCGTCCCTTCACCTTCTAGTGTGTATTCTGGTCAAAGATATATAATGATATACAGTATATCTTTACTAAGAGGAAAATATACAGAAATCTAATGAATGGTTTCTGTTAATTTAAGAAAAAATATTTTACAAAAAAATACTTTGAAACATTCAAGTAAAATTAACAAAACTGTATTTTAATTTTTACTCTGGGGGTGGGGGGGGGGGGGGGGTGGGGGGGGGGGGAGCAGCCTCAGCCTCCACTTGCCAATCATTCTTGGCTGGCAAGGTCTGCCATTTAGCTCGGAAACTAAATTCTTTTTCAAATTCTTAGGAAAATATGTAGCCGTGTGATGACTTTCCTTGTGTAATTGATGGAGAAACATACCAGAATAATTATGTTCACAGCAGTCATATCTAAGAAAATTTTAAACTACTGTACTGCAAAGTTGGTAATTAAAAAATGAAAAGGGCCATCATTAGTTAACTGAATATTTTCCCTCTCGATAATTGAATATTCTCTTGTACACAACTTCATACTTTTATAATAATGAAGCATGCTTCATGATTTTCATAATTTTTTACATTGACAGGGCAAAGGAAGAATGAATACATACTGGCTGCTGGGAAAACATGAGACAGGCCCGTAGAGCAATGCTCTCGGGCATATTCAGTCTCCAGAACTATTCTGACTACCAGGACCTCACCGTCTCTACCCTCGAGACCTTCCAGGACCTCACCGTCTCTACCCTCGAGACCTTCCAGGACCTCACCGTCTCTACCCTCGAGACCTTCCAGGACCTCACCGTCTCTACCCTCGAGACCTTCGTTGTTGTATGTTAAAGGACGTTGCCAAATCTCCAAACCATCCACTTTAGCAAACGCACTAACACATTCCCCCAGAATATGTAAATTAATAACTCAAATCTTGGTTTTTTTTCCCCCATTGTGTGTGGTTTGCGTGTCTTGCCTCAGATATAATGTTGCCACCAAACACTAAACTCTAGGAAACACCAGTATACCATGTTAGACACAATACCTCATACTTGTTGGATAGTAGCAGTTTTTTTATTAGCCCTAGTAAAGACATTCTCTGAGGCTTTGACGCTAGTCTACTAACTAGAATATAAATATTTTTGTCATGTATATACAATGCTGTATTTTGCACATAAAAGTAATGTATCTAATTTTATAATGAATGAACATTTAAGTTTTTCAAGACTCCCTTTCAAGAAAAACACAACTCATCAGCAGAAACGAGAAATGTTATAGTAATTCAAAGATAACTTGTTTTATCACCTAAACATTAACACTTATTAATGCTCTACACAAATATAATAAGAAATATTTGTGATTTTTCCAAAGCTCATTTGCAAATCATTTTTAACTTAAAAAATAACACTCAAGGTTGAGGCTTTAATAAACATTGTGGTAAATAAAAAAGCTAGAAAAAGTTAAGACCTAAAAACTTCTATAAAACTAGATGCAAGTGCAAAGGCACTGTTCAGAGGGTTGTCAACCGTCACAGGGCCAAGCGGCGGCCAGCCGTCACAGTGCCAGGCGGCGGCCAGCCGTCACAGTGCCAGGCGGCGGCCAGCCGTCACGGTGCCAGGCGGCGGCCAGCCGTCACGGTGCCAGGCGGCGGCCAGGGACATTGCTGGTAAAATACTAAAAGAAACTTAAGGACTTATGAGACCAAAATTGGAATAGGCAGCAGTTGTATGGTCCACATATCTTAATTAACACATCGATAAACTGGAAAAGGTGCAGTGGCATGCTATAAACTGGCTTCCAGACTGGAAAACAAGAGTTACGAGGAGAGGCTAGAGGCTAGTGGCATTAAATATGCCAAAGCTAGAAGATAGAAGAAAAAAAAGAGAGGTGATATTATCACCACTTACAAAATAATAACAGGAATTGACCGAATTGACAAAGAGTAATTCCTGAAAGCAGCAACTTCAAGAACAAGAGGTCACAGATTCAAGCAAAGGTAACAAAGGTGCCAAACAAATATGAGAAAGGAAGTGAGAAGGTGGATACAAACACCATCAGTAGTTTCAAATCGATATTTGACAAAGAGTATTGGGAAGACGGGATACACGAGTGTAGTTCTTATCCTGTAACTACTGTACACTTAGGTAATTACACATACACACCTCCCTCCCCCACCCTCCATCTTTTCCAACACACACACTCCCCATCACCCCCCCCCCTTCCCCCCTTCCACACCTTCCTTGTGACACTGACCATTACTGTAAAGGGTTATAAACCCATGGAACCACCTTCCTGCTAAAGCTGTAAATAACAAAACTCTGTTGAAATATAAATTTCAACTTGAAAAAATTATCAGGACGAATGGGGGGTGACCTTTGACAAGCCGCCAGCTTCCTGTCCTCATCAAGGCCACTAGTGTGTTGGTGACTAAGGTAAATGACCCCAACCATACTATGAGACTCCATAAAATTACCAATCACCAAGCAAAGTTGAGTGAGGCTAGCCACAAGCATTTGTCTTCCATCCTTTGACAGACAATCAGACATTCTCTTTTATGGTTAGACTAATAGGGGTACCTGGCTGTGCCCAGGTCTCCCTCCCACCCCCATCCCCTCTCTCCCAATCTCTTCCCTCTCATCTCTCACCCTATCTCCTATTTTCCCCATCTCCATCATTCTCCCCTCCACCCTCTTCCCCACTCTTTCACCTCTGCCTCCCCCTCTCTTACCCTCTTTCCCCTCTCCATGCATCTCCTCCCCTTCTTCTCCTTCCTTCTCTCCCTATCTCTGTCTTTCTCTCTGCCTGTCTTTGTATGTTGTCTGTCTTCACTTCTTGCCCTGGTCCACCCTGTCTCTCTCTCTGTTGTCAGTCTCATTCTGTCTTTTCGTTGATTATCTCTCTTCCATAACGTCTACCATTGGTGTGAGTGGCCCACTAGTGGCAGGAGTCTAACAGTGTGAAATATTCAACATAATGAGGTGGTAATTATCATCCAACATCTAAAAAAAAGCATTTCAAGTCATGGGAGAACCGTTTGTTTTATGCTACTTCAGTGGAACCTCGACTTACGAATGCCCCTACTTACGAATTTTTCGAGTTATGACCACAATTTCGTCAAATAATTTAACTCGATTTACGATATTTGCCTCGACTAGCGACTTTGTTGATGAACCACGCGGTCGACCGAGTGCGTGGTTCCTGGTGGCACGGGCCATTCCGCCCGAGTTTACCTGAGCCGCCCGCTTTAGTGACGATCGCTTTTGTAAAGAATTTCATTGATTTTGTGCTTTTTTTGTTTTTGAACATAAAAGTTCTATTATATATAAAATAAACAACATATAAAAAACATAAAAAAGTCTTATATATCATGCCATGGATCCCAAGAAAGTCAGTGGTAAGGTTCAGCCTAAGAAAATACTGTAGTTGAGTAGAGGCAATAGAGGATGTCCCTCATTAAGAAAATGTGTGAAGTATAGGAAGAACTACAAAGTGTTGTTGAAAAAACACGCCCAAATAAAGCTGTAGCAGGCCGTTGCATTGACCTTTTAATTGACACTGTGATGTCTCACTACAGACAAGTATTAAAATGTAGGGAAAAACAAGAGTCTCTACAGATTCTTAGTAAGACAAGCGAGCAGTGAGCCACAACCAGGTCCTAGTGGTACTCCTGCAAAATGTAGGAGATAGAGTACCCCTAGATAGAGTAGATAGAGAGTAGAGAGAGGAGATAGAGTAGAGATAGATAGGAGATAGAGTAGAGTAGAGATAGAGTAGATAGTTGAAGATAAAATACCCCAGAGAGGTGTTCACTGCCTCATGTTATAATGGAAGGGAACTCCCCTTCCATACACAAACACCTCCCCCCCCCCCTCCTCACCGTCTTCCATACGCCAACAAGAGTCCTCAATAAAGTTAAGATATACATACTGTACTGTAGCTAGTACAAACAAAAAAAAGAGTGGTATTTGATAAAAATGTATTTTTAAGTTAATATTTTTGGGGTGTGGAATGGATTAATTAAATTTACATTATTTCTTATGAGAAAATTCGTTTAAAGTTACGACCCGTCTCTGTGAACATTAAATTTGTAAGTGGAGGTACCACTGTATGGACAAAGTATGATTAGTAGAAAATTTAATAATTTTCCAAAGATCAGTAATGGTGTATATTACTGTAAAAAAATTTTTTAAGGTATTTTGTTATGTGTGGGCAGGACGGCAGTGGCAAACCTTGTCATAGGGGGATCAGAATGTGACTGTGGCATGCTATTCCCTCTTGAATTCATGAGATCCCCCGACCAGCCTATGTCCGTCCCATATCACAGTTAGCGTAGTTCGGTGAGGCTACCCCGGAGCATCTGCCCTCCAATTTTGGACAAAGACATCAGCAGACATTCTCTCTCTCAGTAGCTGAGGTACCCGGTAGTGCCAGGGGTGTCTCTCCCTTACACTCTCCCTTACATTCTCCCTCCCCTCTTCCTGTTTTCTCTCCCTTTATCCCTCCCATTCTCTCGCAGTGGGCAAAACATGCTTGAGTAATGTTGAATGAATGTTATATGTCAATTCCCTCACTTGACACAGAATCAACGTCAAGTGTTGATTCATTGTCAATAGCAGCCATAAAGTCTGTTGGTGCACACACACTATGGACAATCAGACTCACATTTCAGTCTTCATAGGAGTCATTAGTTGTTGTAATAGGAGCCAATCCTACTTGAAAAGGGGCATAGGGATTGACCCTGACCACCCACCCCACGGGCCGAGCGGACAGCACGCTGGACTTGTGATCCTGTGGTCCCGGGTTCGATCTCGGGCACCGGCGAGAAACAACGGGCAGTTTCTTTCACCCTATGCCCCTGTTACCTAGCAGCAAATAGGTACCTGGGTGTTAGTCAGCTGTCACGGGTTGCTTCCTGGGGGTGGAGGAGACCTGGTCGAGGACCGGGCCGCGGGGACACTAAAGCCCCGAAATCATCTCAAGATAACCCTGTGACACTCTTCAGTCACAATTACCACGGAACGTTGCGCAAGACAAACACCAACTGTTTGGCCTCCAACCTCAAACACACTTTTATATAGTGTGTGATTATAAGTACTGTACTGTACTTACTTTACTGCGGAATATTGGATTTGTTCACTAAACATGTCAATGTCTTGAATAAGCACTTGCAGCTTTTACCAAGACTTAATAAATAGCTCAGTTAATACTGTCATTCACCACAGTCGTCACAGTGACCACACTCTCAGTCGTCACAGTGACCACACTCTCAAACCATTCACCACAGTCGTCACAGTGACCACACTCTCAAACCATTCACCACAGTCGTCACAGTGACCACACTCTCAAACCATTCACCACAGTCGTCACAGTGACCACACTCTCAAACCATTCACCACAGTCGTCACAGTGACCACACTCTCAGTCGTCACAGTGACCACACTCTCAAACCATTCACCACAGTCGTCACAGTGACCACACTCTCAAACCATTCACCACAGTCGTCACAGTGACCACACTCTCAAACCATTCACCACAGTCGTCACAGTGACCACACTCTCAAACCATTCACCACAGTCGTCACAGTGACCACACTCTCAAACCATTCACCACAGTCGTCACAGTGACCACACTCTCAAACCATTCACCACAGTCGTCACAGTGACCACACTCTCAAACCATTCACCACAGTCGTCACAGTGACCACACTCTCAAACCATTCACCACAGTCGTCACAGTGACCACACTCTCAAACCATTCACCACAGTCGTCACAGTGACCACACTCTCAAACCATTCACCACAGTCGTCACAGTGACCACACTCTCAAACCATTCACCACAGTCGTCACAGTGACCACACTCTCAAACCATTCACCACAGTCGTCACAGTGACCACACTCTCAAACCATTCACCACAGTCGTCACAGTGACCACACTCTCAAACCATTCACCACAGTCGTCACAGTGACCACACTCTCAAACCATTCACCACAGTCGTCACAGTGACCACACTCTCAAACCATTCACCACAGTCGTCACAGTGACCACACTCTCAAACCATTCACCACAGTCGTCACAGTGACCACACTCTCAAACCATTCACCACAGTCGTCACAGTGACCACACTCTCAAACCATTCACCACAGTCGTCACAGTGACCACACTCTCAAACCATTCACCACAGTCGTCACAGTGACCACACTCTCAAACCATTCACCACAGTCGTCACAGTGACCACACTCTCAAACCATTCACCACAGTCGTCACAGTGACCACACTCTCAAACCATTCACCACAGTCGTCACAGTGACCACACTCTCAAACCATTCACCACAGTCGTCACAGTGACCACACTCTCAAACCATTCACCACAGTCGTCACAGTGACCACACTCTCAAACCATTCACCACAGTCGTCACAGTGACCACACTCTCAAACCATTCACCACAGTCGTCACAGTGACCACACTCTCAAACCATTCACCACAGTCGTCACAGTGACCACACTCACAGTCGTCACAGTGACCACACTCTCAGTCGTCACAGTGACCACACTCTCAGTCGTCACAGTGACCACACTCTCAGTCGTCACAGTGACCACACTCACAGTCGTCACAGTGACCACACTCTCAAACCATTCACCACAGTCGTCACAGTGACCACACTCTCAAACCATTCACCACAGTCGTCACAGTGACCACACTCTCAAACCATTCACCACAGTCGTCACAGTGACCACACTCTCAAACCATTCACCACAGTCGTCACAGTGACCACACTCTCAAACCATTCACCACAGTCGTCACAGTGACCACACTCTCAAACCATTCATCACAGTCGTCACAGTGACCACACTCTCAAACCATTCATCACAGTCGTCACAGTGACCACACTCTCAAACCATTCATCACAGTCGTCACAGTGACCACACTCTCAAACCATTCACCACAGTCGTCACAGTGACCACACTCTCAAACCATTCATCACAGTCGTCACAGTGACCACACTCTCAAACCATTCACCACAGTCGTCACAGTGACCACACTCTCAAACCATTCACCACAGTCGTCACAGTGACCACACTCTCAAACCATTCACCACAGTCGTCACAGTGACCACACTCACAGTCGTCACAGTGACCACACTCTCAAACCATTCATCACAGTCGTCACAGTGACCACACTCTCAAACCATTCATCACAGTCGTCACAGTGACCACACTCTCAAACCATTCATCACAGTCGTCACAGTGACCACACTCTCAAACCATTCACCACAGTCGTCACAGTGACCACACTCTCAAACCATTCATCACAGTCGTCACAGTGACCACACTCTCAAACCATTCACCACAGTCGTCACAGTGACCGTCACAGTGACCACACTCACAAACCATTCTGCTATAATAACATACCAGCGGTGTTCCTTTATCATCACCACCAGATAGTCCTACGGTGTTCCTTTATCATCACCACCAGATAGTCCTACGGTGTTCCTTTATCATCACCACCAGATAGTCCTACTGTGTTCCTTTATCATCACCACCAGATAGTCCTACTGTGTTCCTTTATCATCACCACCAGATAGTCCTACTGTGTTCCTTTATCATCACCACCAGATAGTCCTACTGTGTTCCTTTATCATCACCACCAGATAGTCCTACGGTGTTCCTTTATCATCACCACCAGATAGTCCTACGGTGTTCCTTTATCATCACCACCAGATAGTCCTAAGGTGTTCCTTTATCAGTTTGCTGAAATTGATGCAGTACAATTTCAGACTTACATCCTTCCAGTATTCCAGCGAGCTACTGAATATTTCCTACAACGGTTGCAAGCTCAACAAGCCACAGTGTAGGACTGAGAACAGGAGATGCTTTTCCACCCACAGGGTTATAAACTCATGGAACCGCCTACCTGCCACAGCCGTAAATGCCAAAATTCCATTAACCTTTGAAGTACAACTGGAAAAGATCATCAAGGCAAATGGGAGGACCTTTGACAAGCCACAGGCTTCCTGTCCTCGAGGCCACTAGTGTTCGTGGCTCTCGGGTAACACCTGTAGTGTCCTGTACCTGCTGATGGTTCTGAGGATAAATGTCCCCGCAGCCCAGACTCCGACCGAGTCATAGTGAAAAATTAACCTTTAAGGTTTCCAAGTTCAAAGCTTTGCCTAGTCTTTAAAACACAAATTACTGAAAGCGCCTACCTGCGGTTTAACCATTAATTCAGAAAATGTTGTGAAACTTGCTGCAGTGAGCCACACGCTACAACTTCTCTATATTGTACAATTTTTCAGTTGATTTGCAGACGATGAGTCACAATAACATGGCTGAAAAATGTTGACCAGACAACACACTAGAAAGTGAAGGGACGAAGACGTTTCGGTCCGTCCTGGACCGTTATCAAGCTGATTGTGTGACTGACGACTTGAGAATGATCCAGGACGGACCGAAACGTCGTCGTCCCTTCACTTTCTAGTGTGTGGTCTAGTCAACTTTCAGTTGATTTCATAATGTCACTAAGATTATTCCAATTACTGTATACAGTATGGGCATTTCTCTTCAGTAATATGCTTGAAAATTTCAATTAAGTCTTATATACAGCATCTACAGTACTATGTTACAATAATCCTCACACTGAATGCTTTTTAGCATTTTGCTGTTACAAACACACATTAGTTATTCTTGTATCCCAAGACTACAATCAGTAAGGTATCATCTAACACCCCAAGACCACAATCTGTATATTATCAAACATCCAAGGGCCACACAATCAGTATGTTATCATCTAACATCCCAGGACCACAATCAGTAAAGTACCATGATACAACCCAGAAACACAATCAGTATCGTATTATCTAACATTCCAAGACCACAATCAGTAAGGTATCATACACAATCCAGGACCACAATCAGTAAGGTATCATACACAACCCAGGACCACAATCAGTAAGGTATCATACACAATCCAGGACCACAATCAGTAAGGTATCATACACAATCCAGGACCACAATCAGTAAGGTATCATACACAATCCAGGACCACAATCAGTAAGGTATCATACACAATCCAGGACCACAATCAGTAAGGTATCATACACAATCCAGGACCACAATCAGTAAGGTATCATGGCATAATCCAGGACCACAATCAGTAAGGTACCATAAAACATACCAGGACCACAAACAGTTTAGCAACATCTGGCACCCCAGTGCCTCAATCATTATGGCAACATCAAACAGCCCAGAGCCACAAACCAGAAAGGTAACATCACCACCACAAATTAAGAGCCACAAACCAGAAAGGTAACATCACCACCACAAATTAAGAGCCACAAACCAGAAAGGTAACATCACCACCACAAATTAAGAGCCACAAACCAGAAAGGTAACATCACCACCACAAATTAAGAGCCACAAACCAGAAAGGTAACATCACCACCACAAATTAAGAGCCACAAACCAGAAAGGTAACATCACCACCACAAATTAAATATCCTCAGCAAGGTTTTCTCACTAATATGTCCACAGACAACCAAGAAATATTCTAATTAGGAATAACGAACAACAATTTTATAAAATTACACGAGAGTCTGCCTCTCCAGGGAGTCGCCAAGACCAAGACCTACGGTCTCTTAAGACTATTATAACATTTTCTCACCAAAAGACATAATTTTAAGGCAGCATCACTTTATAAGATACAATAGGTAAATATGTTTATATAAGTGGAATACATTTTATGATAAACAAGGCATTTTAAAAATGTTTCCCCCTGCTTCAAAAATATTATTATGTAAATGTACTGTTTTAAATTTGTTACAATAATTATACTTAGAAAACTGTATAATATGTGTATACAAGTTATTATAAATGTTGATAATGGAGATACATATAGGGCTAAACATTTGTTAAGTGTTTAAAATCTGGAGAGAGTTTTGTTTGAGTTTTTGCTTTATTTCAATGAATGTATTACAGTTACCCTGAGATATATCTTTAAAATGTTTAATGTTTGTCTTTCAAGCCATATTGTATGCTCACACAAATGTCATACTGATATTACAAAGCCGTTTATGTATATGTATTTTTTATATGATTAGCAAGAAGAGAAAATTCTTTCCCCATTGTTTCCCCTAACTTAGGTCCTCATACATCAGTACTCACAAGCTGCTGTTAATATTTTATGTCATTAACTTCTCTCAAGTTATAACTTGCAGCATTTGGAGTGATGAAGTTAGAATAATATTGTCCTAATATTATGTTTGACTAGTGTTGATAGCAATGTTCAGTGTTTAAGTCGGACCAGTATTGATAGCAATGTTCCAATGTTTACATTGGACCAGTATTAATACCATTGTTCCAACACTAGACCAATGTTAAGTCAACTGTATACCTGCTCAAAAGGGAACAATTGGATAATAATTAGTACAATCATTACATGATATCACACAACCCCATATGACCATAGATTTTATAACCAATCCCCACATGATAAATTATAATTTTGCTTCTCATATAATTTTGCTCAACTTTCAGCCTCCTTGTATAAAGGAGTGCAGGTATGGTGCACCATCTTGCCTAGTTAGCCGACCTGTGGTGTCTCGGATGCCAGACATCCTTGACAAGTGTCGACCAAACAGGCGTGGCATCATACAAACCTATTTATTATATCAATTTTTTTTTAGCATGATCAAACTGTTTACTATGGAGGAGGGCAGAATTCTTTTTCAAGTTTTTATTTATATTTTTTTCAGCATACTATATTCTATCACATAGCAAAATAGGCAAATGTATTAATGATTTCAAGAGTGAGATATACATTGGTTTATTATTGAAACAAATGTATTCTGTTAGTATGTTAAGAGCTGCAAGCCGAGACCTTTCCCTTCCCTAACTCATGGTAAGCCTTAACCCTCTAGTTTCCCTGCAATACGACCAGCCATTCATTTAACAACCAGGAACCCAATCACTGCTGGGTGAACAGAGGCATACAGTTAAGGATTGGCACCTAGTCAATCCTTACCAGCCAGGATACGAACCTAGGCCAAATCGCTCGCAAAGTGTCGGGTGAGTGTGCTACCACTGTGCCACGGGGATTGCAATTAACATCGCCTAAGCTCTGACCCGAACATTTGTCGGAGTTAACATTAAGCAGCATCTTTCAATCTTTCATACATATTAAGTCTGTTTAAATTGTCTTGTAGCAATTTTGAGTCTGAATTTATTTGTCCATTATTTTTAAGAAAACTTAAATTGATAATCAATATTTTGTATATTTTGCTTTTACAGCGTACACTTTTTATCCTGAATACTGTACATTATTTGTGTTATACTTTATTTAATATCTTAAGGGTTTAGTACATAATGTATCTATTAATATAACTAAAAGAAAACAATCTTCGCTGATACAGTCTAGAGGTGGCAGACCAAAGAACAGGTGCTGCCATATTCCCAGACACAACTCCCTTTTTTCATGCTGCTTGAAATTGATGAAATATAGTGACCTTGTCCCAAACCCTTGTTGCGACCTTGTTGTGCAAATATGGGTTGTAAACAAGGGGTTACAAAATGAAATATGGACCACTCTTGATTTGTCAACGTGTGACCTCTGGAGAATTAAATATATTTGCGTGGCAAGCCATGCTACTTCCTCCCAGTGTGACTCACCCCATCATTCAACACGTCACTTTCTACTCCTCAAAATTCCATATATCACTGGTATTTTATGGGTTTGGGACGAGCAGTTTTGGATAAGCAGCTTGTACGAATTTAAAAAAAAACAAAAAATCAATAAAGCTGTATTATCATCAAATGGTAAATATTGTCATGTAAATCTTTTTTGGGGAGCTTTCAAAGATGTTATTGGTAATTTAGTGAAGCTTGATGCCAAAGAACCCAAGTGAGGTATTTCAAGATTCTGCCGATAGTTGAAACTATAATAGTAACTTCTTATTATCTAAAACTTTTCATGTATTCTTGGTGATTTTTAAATATTTAGGCTTAATAAGAAAATATACAATTATTTTGAGGATTATAGGATTTTATTATAGGATTATATTTTGAGGATATTTAATTTTAGATTAAATTTATATATTGTGCGAGTCTTAGGGACTTCAGCATTGACTTGAGCTTTGTAAGCTACAGTGTTTTATGAGGACCTAAGTTATAAGACTTCAGCATTGAGTTGAGCTTTGTAAGCTACAGTGTTTTATGAGGACCTAAGTTATAAGGAGGAGATTTACTTAGCCAAAAGATACAAAGATTTCATATATTCTTTTTCTCTTAAATCACATGTTCACAAATTCATTAAACAAAAATGTATTATTCAGTAATCATGTAATATATATAAAAATATATCCATGTATAGCCTACACAAAACTTATTTAAACTATGAATAATATTGTACAAATTTGTAGTCCTCTAGAATGATTTTAAGTTCTTAAATTCACAATTGTGTTCCCATTTACAGTACCGATTAATGTTGGGTGTTTCAGAGTTTTACACTCGCTTCACTCTGGATGTTTTTAAGGCAGAAATTAGCCATTGTCTCATTTTGTAAATAAGAGACTTAATATGTGAGGCAAATTGCCACATTTTTAATTACACAGTTCTATTTTAGTAGTGGTCCTGAAGCTGTCATTGTTATTCGAGGCTCAAGTTGAGAGTAATATTTATAGCACCTCCGAGCAACTACCGTTGATGCTCCATCACCAGATTGATTCAATACTGTATAATTGCCAGTTCTCAATAACTTATTTAAATCACAAATCTCACCTGGTCCTTTCCACCTCTCCCAACCCATCACCACCTCTCCCTACCCATCACCACCCCTCCCTACCCATCACCACCCCTCCCTACCCATCACAACCTCTCCCAACCCATCACCACCTCTCCCTACCCATCACCACCCCTCCCTACCCATCACAACCTCTCCCAACCCATCACCACCTCTCCCTACCCATCACCACCCCTCCCTACCCATCACAACCTCTCCCAACCCATCACCACCTCTCCCTACCCACCACCACCCCTCCCTACCCATCACCACCTCTCCCTTCCCATCACCACCTCTTCCAACCCACCACCACCCCTCCCTACCCATCACCACCTCTCCCTACCCATCACCACCTCTCCCTACCCACCACCACCCCTCCCTACCCATCACCACCTCTCCCTACCCATCACCACCCCTCCCTACCCATCACAACCTCTCCCAACCCATCACCACCTCTCCCTACCCACCACCACCCCTCCCTACCCATCACCACCTCTCCCTACCCATCACCACCTCTTCCAACCCACCACCACCCCTCCCTACCCATCACCACCTCTCCCTACCCATCACCACCTCTCCCTACCCACCACCACCCCTCCCTACCCATCACCACCTCTCCCTACCCATCACCACCTCTTCCAACCCACCACCACCCCTCCCTACCCATCACAACCTCTCCCTACCCATCACCACCTCTCCCTACCCATCACCACCTCTCCCTGCCCATCACCACCTCTTCCAACCCACCACCACCCCTCCCTACCCATCACAACCTCTCCCTACCCATCACCACCTCTCCCTACCCATCACCACCTCTCCCTACCCATCACAACCTCTCCCTACCCGTCACCACCTCCCCCTACCCATCACAACCTCTCCCTACCCATCACAACCTCTCCCTACCCATCACCACCTCTCCCTACCCATCACAACCCCTCCCTACCCATCACCACCCCTCCCTACCCATCACCACCTCTTCCTGCCCATCACAACCTCTCCCTACCCATCACCACCCCTCCCTACCCATCACCACCTCTCCCTGCCCATCACAACCTCTCCCTACCCATCACAACCTCTCCCTACCCATCACAACCTCTCCCTACCCATCACCACCTCTTCCTGCCCATCACAACCTCTTCCTACCCATCACCACCCCTCCCTACCCATCACCACCTCTCCCTACCCATCACCACCTCTTCCTGCCCATCACAACCTCTTCCTACCCATCACCACCTCTTCCTACCCATCACAACCTCTTCCTACCCATCACCACCACTTCTTGCCCATCACAACCTCTTCCTGCCCATCACAACCTCTTCCTACCCATCACAACCTCTTCCTACCCATCACAACCTCTTCCTACCCATCACAACCTCTTCCTACCCATCACCTCTTCCTACCCATCACCACCTCTTCCTGCCCATCACAACCTCTTCCTACCCATCACAACCTCTTCCTACCCATCACCTCTTCCTACCCATCACAACCTCTTCCTACCCATCACAAACTCTTCCAACCCATCACAACCTCTCCCTACCCATCACCACCTCTTCCTGCCCATCACAACCTCTTCCTACCCATCACAACCTCTTCCTACCCATCACAACCTCTCTCTACCCATCACAACCTCTCCCTACCCATCACAACCTCTCCCTACCCATCACAACCTCTTCCTACCCGTCACCACCCCTCCCTACCCATCACCACCTCTCCCTACCCATCACAACCTCTTCCTACCCATCACAACCTCTCCCTACCCATCACAACCTCTCCCTACCCATCACCACCTCTCCCTACCCATCACCACCCCTCCCTACCCATCACAACCTCTCCCTACCCATCACCACCTCTTCCTGCCCATCACCACCTCTCCCTACCCATCGCAACCTCTCCGTACCCATCACAACCTCTCCCTACCCATCACAACCTCTCCCTACCCATCACAACCTCTCCCTACCCATCACAACCTCTCCCTACCCATTACAACCTCTTCCTACCCATCACCACCCCTCCCTACCCATCACCACCCCTCCCTACCCATCACCACCTCTTCCTACCCATCACCACCCCTCCCTACCCATCACCACCCCTCCCTACCCATCACCACCTCTTCCTACCCATCACCACCCCTCCCTACCCATCACCACCTCTTCCTACCCATCACCACCCCTCCCTACCCATCACCACCTCTTCCTACCCATCACCACCCCTCCCTACCCATCACAACCTCTCCCTACCCATCACCACCCCTCCCTACCCATCACCACCCCTCCCTACCCATCACCACCCCTCCCTACCCATCACAACCTCTCCCTACCCATCACCACCCCTCCCTACCCATCACCACCCCTCCCTACCCATCACCACCCCTCCCTACCCATCACAACCTCTCCCTACCCATCACCACCCCTCCCTACCCATCACCACCCCTCCCTACCCATCACAACCTCTCCCTACCCATCACCACCCCTCCCTACCCATCACCACCCCTCCCTACCCATCACCACCCCTCCCTGCCCATCACCACCCCTCCCTACCCATCACCACCCCTCCCTACCCATCACAACCTCTCCCTACCCATCACCACCCCTCCCTACCCAACACCACCCCTCCCTACCCATCACCACCCCTCCCTGCCCATCACCACCCCTCCCTACCCATCACCACCTCTCCCTACCCATCACCACCCCTCCCTACCCATCACCACCCCTCCCTACCCATCACCACCCCTCCCTACCCATCACCACCCCTCCCTACCCATCACCACCCCTCCCTACCCATCACCACCCCTCCCTGCCCATCACCACCCCTCCCTACCCATCACCACCCCTCCCTACCCATCACCACCCCTCCCTGCCCATCACCACCCCTCCCTACCCATCACCACCTCTCCCTACCCATCACCACCCCTCCCTACCCATCACCACCTCTCCCTACCCATCACCACCCCTCCCTACCCATCACCACCTCTCCCTACCCATCACCACCCCTCCCTACCCATCACCACCTCTTCCTACCCATCACCACCCCTCCCTACCCATCACCACCTCTCCCTACCCATCACCACCCCTCCCTACCCATCACCACCTCTCCCCCCACCAATAAGTTCACCCACCATACAGTATTGACATTCATCAAGAAAATAGTCAGCATTGATAGAGAATAACTTGATACAGAATTAATACTTACTAGACAATACACCTTTAATTAATATTGTAGTAATATAATCTCTCAGGAAATAGCAAAATATTAACTATATTTTGATTCCTATTGAACTAGTTTGAATGGAAATGTTGCCAGACTGCTAAGCTAAGCCAAACTATCAGCCTTTGTTAACAAACTTGGTGAGCTGCGACATTTTACCCGAGGCAGCTCGGACCTTGCTAGGGGACAATCTCGCACGTCTATGACATTCAAAACACTTGAAAAATCCCATGAAAAAAGTACAGCATTACTATTCAGAATCTACAGATTCTATGACATAATATACCCAGTAGATTGTCAGAATAGATTTATATTTATTATATGCTGTATTTCATTCTACTTTTTGGGGCATATGATCCAATAAAGATACTACTGACAGAATTTTCACATCTTTTTTCAATATTAAAAATACACTGCAATTTTGTCCTGCTTGCTTCCACCAGTTCTCTAAAGGTGTCAGTTTCATCAGTTCTCCAAATTATTGCTTTAGCACCTTGAATTATTATTATTCATCCTTGAGTATTCTGCCGTTACAAAGTTCTGGCGAGATATTCATTTGCATTTTTAGAACACGGTATTAAGGGGTAAATGACAGCCTTATATAACAGTGATAAAATTGGGGCCTAATAATTTCTTAAAATAAATATAACACAGTATTATAAGCACATTGT